AAAAAAAAAAAAAAATATTACGACAAATACTTAATTAGAAGAGTGCGGCAGCATGCCAGGACGTTATGCGTGGCTGACGTTCGGATGTATGTTGTGTGTGCTGAATGTGAGCTGGTGCCGCGCAGCCAATGAAGATGAACAGTGAGTGTGCTCAAAGGAGTAAACATGACATATGTATATGAAGCAATAGCTTAGCGGTGCAATAATAACCTTTCAACATTTTGTGTTGTAACCTTCTCTTTCCTTTGCAGTGTGCATATTAAAGTGCGAATGCCGGAGCCGGCGCGAAAACATAAAACACACAAGCCGCCACAACAGCTTCATCACACACACCACAACTACGCCCACCAGCACCTCTACCAGCCACTTCAGCCTCAGGCGCATCACCATCATTATCACAAGCCACAATATTCACACAACACCTACCAGCACCCAAATGCGGTTGTGAAGCATGGCAGGAGAGCAGTAAAGCCAACGGCACCGTTTCCAGCCATGATGCCACACAACCACCTCGACACGGGGCTTTACGGCGACGAGCTGGGTGTTGGTGCTGGCCTGCGTGGCGTTGGCATGTCCGAACAGCTGATGTATTCACCCGGCGCACCACAGCCGCCGATGGCTATGGCGCCCGATTTGGCACCCAACTACGGGCCTGCGGTGTTTGGCATCGGCGGCAGTGGGAGCGGTGGTGTTGCCGGCAGCAGCAGCAGCGAGAATGCCCAGCAACACTTTTCGCCAGGCGGCTCGTCGTCATCCACCAGCGTATTGACTATGCCAGGCTCAACCCAGCAGCTAATGCAACACATGGAGCTAATGGGTGCGCTGGCAGCGGCGGCGGCGGCAGCAGCAGCCGGAGGAGGCGCAGATGGAGAGGGGGGTGAGGTGAGTGTGCCAAGCGCGGGTGGTGACGGAGCTAGCGAGACGAACACACTGTTGGCAGATGACTTCTTGGCCGATATGCAGCGCACATATGCCAATGGTAAATTTCCGGCAGGCGGCAATTTTAAGCGCAAAAAGAAGTATCGGGGAGGCGGTCTGGCAGAGATAGGCGATGCTGCAGTCACATTTCCATTGAACACACCACAATTGCAGCAACAACATGTACAGCTGCAACAACAGCAACATCAACAACTATTGCGGCAACAATTTCTACAACAGCAGCAGCAGCAGCAGCAACAACTACAGCGTCCGCAACAGTTCTACGGCGCAAATTACTTTATGCAACAGCCAAAGCCGCAAGCGCACATGCTAAGGGCGCCAGCCAACAACTATCACAGCTATCATCAACCGCTGAATTACAAAAACAAGCAACACTACAACAATAATGACATTTATGCAACCGCAACAACCGACGAAGGCGGCGATGGCGATGTAAGGGATGGCCATGGTGACGATGACGACGGCGGCGACGACGAAGACGACATTGACACTGACGATGATGTAGCATTGTTTTTCTCCAGTCGCCCCACATTGAGCGCCTCCACACCGTCGTCCTCCTTCTCCGCATTTTCGCCACCCACAAGTACTGCCTATCACAGCGCTAATGACTATGAGGATGCCGTGGATGATGAGGACCAGCAATTCGGTTACAAAAGTAACAGCAACACAAAATACAAAAGCAACTACTTCCTAGGCGGCGGCGGCGGTGTTGGCATTGATGGTGTTGACGCTGACGATGCAAATGAAGGTGTTAATCCGGTTAGTTATCAGCATTCGACGACGGCCTATGGAGCATATGCGGCCAGTGCATCGACACCAGCCACAGTGACACATCTCAAATTACGTCCATATCGACAGTTGCAACAACAACAGCAGCACAAGCATAAGCAGCCGTTCGGCTTTTCAGGTCATCAGCAATCTACGCATCACCCGAACCCCCCCTACCACCATCAGCAGCAGCAGCAGCAGCTCATCACAACAGCACAACCAATTAACGTCGTTGGTCCCACGGCAAGTGACTTTAATGAACATCACCCGGCGCCACCGCCACCGGTAGCTATGCAGCAGCAGCATCACAAATACCCGGTGTCACCAAGGTACAAGAAACGCAAAAACCGCATCAAAGGGAAGCCAAATCGAAATCGCATTCCGGCGCAATAATTGCTTTTGCTTCGATGAGCGCCTAGCTGACCGAAAAGCCGCCCGCCCGCCCGCCTGCCAACGGCTGAGCTGCTGCACTTGACCGGTTGCATAACTCTGGCTAAGCAATGTCCCACTTTCCGCCTGCCCGCCTCCCCGGCTCGCCCTTCTCAATCGAGTTCCATGTTTCCGCTAATCCGATCTCTTGGGAATCTTGCATCGTTTTCGAGTACTAACTGTTGTTATTGCTGTTGTGCAAGAGTAATTGCAAATACTTGTGCAATAGTTCCCATGTCACCTAGTAGCAGCCTGCAATTGTATATACTATTTATCTATCCATGTAAGTGTGTTTGAGAATTAGAAGAGGCAGCACCAGCAGCACAGATTTGAAATTGGTTTGGGTATAGCAGCTATAAAATCAGGTTAAGTGGCTTTACGAGCAGTCAGTAAGTAATCACATTTACCGTTAAGTTAAATAAGTTGTCCTAGACTCTCACACACTGGGCACACACACATACACACTCGTCAACGTTTCTCACAAAACTTTGAAAATAAAGTGATACTAACTAAAATCAGTTGATAAGTCAGTTATGAAATTGTTGGATTTTTATTGTATTTCGTGTAGATAGCAGCAGTAGCAGCAGTGTGAAGGTCAAATATGGTTGAAGAGTGCGATTAGATTATGAACTGTGGAGTGCATTTGAAAAATTGCGCTTACGACGAGAGAAATGTGCTCTATCTAATACTAGCACTGGCTGTAAAAAAAGGTGGTGAAAAGCAGTTTGCGCTTTCAAAAAAAAAAATAAAAGTAAGTGCGCCTCAGCCACACTGGAGAAGTGAAACTTGCGTTATTTTTTGCCTTTTTTCCATCTAGATCTCTATCTCTACCCTGTTCATTTTAATTACATTTACAATATTCTGTTTCCCTTTATCTTTATTTTTATCTTCGTACTTTATCGATTACAAAATCGATAGTAACATCCATGAAAATATCGATAACAAAACCGATACAGATATCGATAACAAATTCGATAAAAATATCGATAGTAAAATTGACAACAAAATCGATGAAAATGTCGATAAAAATAACGATAATATAACCGATAAAAATATAGGTAATGAAATCAATAACAAAATCGATAAAAATATCCATGACAAAATCGAAAAAATATCGATAACAATATCTATAACAAATTCGATAAAAATATCGATAACAAAATCGATAAAAAAATATCGATAACAAATTCGATAAAAATATCGATAGCAAAATTGATAACAATATGGATAAAAAATATCGATAACAGAATCGTTAAAAATATCGATAACAAGATCGATAAAAATATCGGTAATAAAATCGATAAAAATACAAGTAATAAAATCGATAACAAAATCGATAAAAATATCGGTAATAAAATCGATAACAAAATCGATAAAAATATCGATACCAAAATCGAAAAAAAGTATCGATAACAAAATTGATAAAAACATCGGTAATAAAATCGATAAAAATGTCGATAAAAAATTCGTTAAAATATCGATAAAAACCCCGATAAAAATATCGATAAGTTTTGAGAAACCCGAGCATCTCTAAAATCTCGAAACAGTTCCCAGATTGAGTCTCTTGGTCTATCTATATCCTTTTCTCTATAAATACCTTTATTTTAATCGTTCTTCCTCTATGTTCAGCTTTACTTTCATCGGCATCCTCATCCTCATCTTTTCTTTGTTTTTACTTTTATGTTTATCCTTTTCGTCATCTACATATTCCCAATCACCTTCGCCATTATATAAGTAAGTGTTTAAATTTACCTTGGTCTTCATTTTTGCCTTTATTTTTACGCAACTTTGTTTTTGTTTTTGTTTTTATTTTTACCTTTGCTTTTATCCTTTTCTATATCTATGTACGTACCCACATTTACTTTCATTCTTGTATTGGTAATTCAAAGAGCTATTCTTTAACCTTTTATTAGTAAGTTTTTGTTAAATTAATACCGTATGCATACACTCAAGCACTTGTTTCAGCTTCAACCATTTCCGTTACACCATTTCCGTGTGCAATTTTCGTTGAATTTGCCAATTTACTCCCAACCAACTAACCGCTGCTAAAGAAGTTTATCTTCAAAAATTCGTAAGCTGTTTGAGAATTGTATACAACTGCTGGAGCAATTAAATAATACGCGAATAGCAAAGGTTACTTTCATTAATGTTGCATACTTATAGGATGCCTATTTTGTTGAGTTGGTAAAACACACAAAAATGTAAAATATTTTTGAAACGGGTTGCCATCTGTTTAGAAATTAAATATCAATTTTATTAACTAGGGATTAACCTTGGATGGGGTAGTGGTGCGACCACCTCCAGGGCCAAGAAAGCCTTACTGGTGTGAAAGTGTGTGTCAAAAAAGTCTTGGGCATGTTGCCCCAAGATTAAAAAAAGGTAAGGTCATATCCTCTAAGAACATAGTGCAGGTAGGATCCTCGCACTCGCTAGCTTTGTTTCCCAGAGATGACATACTTAGGTACAACTATAGGTTTTGAAAAGAGATTTAAAATAGAACTAAGCAGTAAAAAGTAAAAGAATCTGGATAGACTTCTCAGGATAGCACCCTGCATTGGTCCACATACGGCTCGAGTACTCCAGAGGCAATAGGTGCTGGAATCTTTGGGCCCAGGACTAGGATCTCTATCCCTATGAGGAAATATCCCAGCATATTCCAAGCTGAAGTTTACGGCATTTATTTTTGCGCGGAGACTATCATAAACTTTTGCGCTTAGAGTAGGTCCCAATAGTATAAACGAGGTGGGTTTTTACAAGAGCAGATTTTTTTAACTTCCCGAAGGGGAAGCTGAGAATACTAACAAATTAAATGAAATATTTTAATGAGTATCCAGCGAGAGAGGCTTAAGATAGCTTTATTTCTGAAACATTGAGCATTATGTAAGAGTGTTATCACATTTCCAAAATTTTTGTATATCAACTTTATCTGAAAATTTAAGAAAAGAGAAAAGTAGCATAAGTTCAAAATTTTTTAGATCAATAGTTGAACAAATAAAGATCAGTAAAAAATTCACGTTTGGTCTTATTTTAACTTTTTTTTAATACTTTTTGTTTAATAATTTTTCGACTTTTTTTCGATTTGAGTAGTGCTCTTGCCGCCGTAGCCGAGCGCTTAGATGTGCCTACAGCTACTCGGGAGGTCCATGGTCCAATTTCTGGTCCCAGCTACATCAAAATGGTAAAAGTGTAGATCTCTCCATTTAGGGGGTTCCTCTAAACTGGAAAAGCCTTGAAAGCTTCGCAAAACTCAAAACTTTTACTGAAAGGTCAAGATTTGTGTGAAATGAAAAAACCGGTTTGTTCGATAAAAAACCGGTTTATTCAGTATTCGAAAAATCAAGATTTAAAAAAGCCGCCAATAGATAACCAAAAAAAAAACACGGTTGAAACCGGTTTGGAAAACCCGTGTCAATCACCCCAGTAAGTCAAGTATATTGGATTTCAAAGGACAAAAGATATAAGCTCATTTTAAAAGTGACCCTAAATATATATACTAAATAGATTGAAGAACAAATTCATTATCGAACCGTACCATTATTACCGCCAATGAATGAAGAGCTCTTCAAATTTATTTCGTTGGCAACTCTAACATCGAAATTGACCAGCGTTGTGCGACTAGAGGGGCTACGAAACGCCAGATCATTGGAAAATTTTAAGAATTTCTTCAGGCACAGAACGCTAAGGCTAGGCTATTTAAGATGGCAATGAGGGATGATATGTCTTCTGATGATCATAAAACCATAATCGGAGCAGATAAATGTGCCACTGGAAATCGTGAATTGCTGACGCAAGTGTTGAACCAAAGTGTTTCACTAAAATAATTAAATTTTTGGCGGTACAAAGTTCGCGGGATGCGCAAGTATACTTTTATGCTTCACCTCAACTCACTCAAAGGCGACGGGCAAAATCGAAATAGTGTACAAAACTGCCGTTAAGAAACTCATTACTCAACATCAATGAGCACGGGCAGAAACATTCAATAAGTTTCTTTTCTTCAGCAACTTTTAATTATTTTGCTCTTCGTAACGCGTAAACTATTTAATACCGATCATATCCCACTGAACTTCTTCTTGATTAGTTTCATATCAATCCCCCGCGGTTAAACAGCTGGACGCCTGTGGCATTGGGTATTAACATTTACGTTGCTTTCATATCATCAAAGTCACACTTTACCCCCACCACTTTACTGCCTAATTCTCCTGCCACAACGGAAATTAATTTTATCTCGCATCGTAAATGTGTGAAATTGCGCAAATAAAGCAAACAACAACAGCAACATTTATAAATAATAGTATAAAGAATTTTTATATTGAATGCAGCAGCAGCGTCTCCTTGATAGCGGGTGTGTGTGTGTGTGTGCGTACGAGTGCTTATGCAATGAAATTAATTTTTGTTACGAAATTAATGCGCTGTCACCAGGCACTACCATCCTCCACTCCCTTAAACGCACGCACGCACGCACACACACAAAAAAAAGATTTTGTGAAATATTTTCGCTTGCATAAGAGAATGGATGATGATGATGATGACAACATAACCACACAGTTTGTGGCATGTGGCAATAATATTGCGACAAAGCGATGACGCGTCGCGCAGCATTGTGTTCCATATGTATATGCAACAAAAACTAGAAGAAAAAAAAAACAACTGCAAGTGCGAGCGGCGTGTTACGGCTCTAACACGAAAACTTCCTGTGGCTTGAAATGCCATTAACGCGTTTACATTGCCAGTATCATCGTCATCAGCGCGATCCGCATCCTTCCGTTCGTTCAACGTTGCCTGGGCTAACAAACAGCATCATCGGCAAAATGTACCCCTTACCGGATGCCTACACTGTACACAGCAGCCATGGCGATTGCGATGGTGATTGTGATGGTGATGGCGACGACGCATGTGGTGCAAGCAGTCAAAATAATTTGTCATGCTGTGTTGGCATAATTTGTCGACGCTTGCAATTTGTTGCT